GCCGCCGCCCGGGGCCGGCCGGGGCGCTCCCGGGAGCCGGAGCGAAGGGAAAGGCGCTGGTGCTGAGCGCAGGGGGATGCTGAGCCAGCCGGGCCCGGCCGGCCGCATCTTCTGCCTCTCGCCCTCGCCCGGCCCCACCCGGCCCCTGCCCGGGCAGCACGCACTTCTCTTGGGGCCCAGAATTCCCCCGACCCTGCCAGGCGCCCCCGCGGGCGGTGTGCTGGCTGCAGCCCTGGAGGGGGTGCTGGGAAATTCCCTGGCCGCCCCAGGCACCGGGAGAGTTAACTGAGCTGCCTGCAGCCGCGCTGTAAACAAATCGTTTAAAATATCTGGAGTCAGTAAGTTAAGTGAAAGGGAGGAAACCTCTTCTGACAGGACCTGCAGTTTGGCCTGCAGTGGGGGGTCCCACCATCCTCCGGCAGGCCGTCCCTGGAAACTAACCTCCTTTATATTTCTTATAGGGAGGGGGGACAGGCCTCTGGGTGTAGACTGCTAACTTGTCACCCCATCTCCTATCTGGAGAGTGGCATACTGTCAGCCGGAGGATGATAGAGTATCATTGTGGCTCCTAAAAATCACGTCCTTTTTATTATTATTTCCTTGATTGTAAAGAACACCCCCCCCTTACTTTTACGGACATGCTGAGAAGTCCATGCCTAGATCAGGGCCATGGCTCTGTTTCTCCACTGCTGGCCAAAATCAGAACCCCTCCTCAGTTCCCTCTCTTATCCTCTTGGCCACAGCTCTGGAAGCCTCACTCAGGATTCCAGAGAATTCCTGGAGAGAGTGGTACAGAGCAATGTGGTTATATCCCATCACTTGCACCAAACCCCCAATTCCCCGCAGTACAGGAGGCCTTTCCCAAACGCTCCCCTTTGTTCATTCTCAACAAGAAGGACTACTGACTGGAACCACCAGAAATCTAGCCCTTGTGTAGAAGTCACAGGATCTCTCCATCAAGCCTCCTCACCTCCCTGACCTCTGAATGAGGATTAACAAATGAAGTCTGGAGAACACGTAGAAAAAAAGACCAATGAGAATTCTTACCTTTCTGGCTTCTTATTACAAAATGCTCATTACTTCCCCCAGCTCTGAAGTAGTCCTTCCTTTATTAACATCCATAACTAGTGTGCAAAATGTAAAACACTAAGAGAGAGTTATCAACATAGTTTGAGAAAATGGATTTGTTATTTTACAACCTGACAACTCCCAGCCCCTACAAACCTCCCTCATTAGTTGAAGGTAGTAACAAGGCTCTGAAAGAACAAAGAGAATGTGAATAGAGGAGAAAGTACAGGTGTGATGGGCTGTCTTCCCAAATCCCAGTCTATGGTGCATTTGGGAGAGAAGAAAAAAAAAATCTGTCTTCCTAATATCTCCTCAGCATAAGCCTTGTTGGAAATGTTTGCTCTGGCCAAAGTGAGATGCCTGAGACATCCAGACAGCATTCCCTGGAGCAAAGGATGGGGGTGGAGGGTGGAGGAGAGTGAGAAGAACAGCCCCTCTCTGGAAGAACTGCAAGTTCCCCTGCCTGAACAAGAAATGCATCCTGTCCCTGTGCTCATGGCTGCAGCCTGGAAGCTTCTCCAGAAAGGAGCCCTCCCACCCCTCACAGAGATCTGGCTTTCCTTCCCTTCCCACCACATCTGTTTATACAAAGGAGGGCTGCTGGAGAACAAACAGAACCATGTTTACTGGGAGTCCCATCCTAAGCTTGAAGCTTAAGATACAGATTTGCCCTCACCACGGAGGCTGAAGATAAATAGATGGCCCCAGAAAAGGAAAGAGAGAAAGCACTGGGGGGTATAGAGCTGGTGGAGTGGTTTACTCATGAAAGGCCTCTCCCTAAAAGCCACGTAGTGATGGGTAGATTTGTATTTGAATTTCAACACGGTGCCTTGTGTTAATACATGAATGTACTTGAGCCTAAAGCAATTTCAGTGTGGGTATTTAAATATTTTTCTTCAGGAATAGCCCTTATTTTCTGTTTGGGGCCTCCTAACGCAGGGGAAGTTGGGTTAATATTTTTATTTCCAGTGTATGTTTTTCTGTATAGTGTCCAGTTGGAGAATATGGTCTTTTGAAGAAACCCAAACCATACTGATAGATACCATGTTTACTAAGTTGTCATGGAAATAAATCTAAATTAATAGTATTTACAAGTAAAATGTAGAACAGTTAATGAGAGCCTTTATAAGGTGATCTTTTTATTATTTTTATTTATCTGGTATATTAAGATGTTGCCATTATCCTCCAGCCCCTAGATACATGTACCAAAACAAGTGCTTAATCCAGTTGTCAAAATTTTAAATCCTTAATAAAAAACAAAAAAAGGTTTGGACTTCCTGGGATTCGAATGCCAAAACTAAAAGGGAGGTGTGTGGGGTTTTTTGTTTTTGTTTTTGTTTTTGTTTTGTTTGTAACGGAGTAAGGGGCTACCTAAATTAAAAATAAAAATAAAAACTGGTGTTTCCTCTGAAGCGGATGAAGCTTCTGTGCATACTAAAGACCTGGAGACTTGAGGGACTCTTCTCCTGGGGTAGATGCAGATAACACTCCAGAGAGCTGAATGAAACACCCCAGCTCTGGAGTCTGGAGAGCCGCTGTGGGAAGTTAGCTGAGGGAGGAGCTGTTGGCTCTCTGGGTCAGGGGTATTTTTTTGAGTTAAATGTATGAACGAAAGGGATTGAGAAATAAATCCTGCTCAGTCTGGGGCAGGCCTACAAGTGCACTCAGCAAGGGCCCCACTCACATTCCACCAACCTGGAATTAAAAGTCTCCAAAACAGACCCAGAAGCAAATCTGTGGCACCCAACTAAGATCTCCTGGATACAAACTGAGAGAGGAGAAACCTTGCATGGCCTTTATTAATTCATACCTTATTCTGAAGATGTGGATACAACTCAGGTCATGATTGTGACCGGATGGGAATTTTCCTTTTATAATCCCACCGCTCTCCTAGAAAAATACGCCTGGCTAAAAGCCAGCTGTGCAAGCGGTCTTGCCAGGGGTCAGGGGAGCCCCCACCCTATGTCCTGCAGCACTGTTTGTCACTGCACCTTCTCTCCTGTTCCAGCAAGGCTGCAGTCACATCACAGTCTGCTTCTCCTTCCAGAGGCTTCTTGAGTGTTTGTAACTGTATCTGGGGATTGCGGGATAAGCCCTCTAGGCTTTCTGCTTGCAAATTGCATGCTAATATGTCAGCCCCAGGACAGCTTGGGTTTTAATCCACCTAGGAGTTCTAGTGTCTTCAGGCCTTTCCCTCTGCACTGGTATCTCAGCGTGGTTCTAGCTTGGGATCTGAGGTGACTCTTTTCCTATTTTTTTCATCATTCACCAGGTCCCGAGCAGATGGTGTGGCTGTGCTGGCTGTCATCACTCCTCCTATGTTTCCATGGAAACATGGGGCATAGGGACCATCTCTGCCTTGGGCTCTCTGACAGTATCCTCTGGTAGAGAACTTGAGCACTCTGGCCCCCTCCCCCTTGCCTGCCCACATCCTGGAGAGTTTGAGGAAGACTCGTGGCCCTGGTAGCCAGGGTCATTTCAGAGATCATCTAAGGACATGCTCCCCACAAGTGGTTGTGAACCGGCTGCAAAAGTGGGGGGGAGAGGGAGGAGTGCTGATAGCCTAGTTGTGGGGCAGTTGTGTTGCAATGGGGGCATATTTGGATTATCTATCCCCTCAGCCAGATTCTTTCATGCCTGATTATTGCCCGGATGTCACAAGAGATGCTCCTAAGGTTGCGTCTGCTCATCAGGCAAGAGATACTTAATAAGTGTAAGCATGCTACTAGTGTTTTACACTTTACTGACATTCTGCCTCCTCCAAGTGCATTCCTTTTTTTTTCCTTTGTACAAAACCAGGTTTTCCCTAAGGAATGTACGTACCTTCCTCAAACTTTCCAACATCCTCCTGCCTACATAATTCACTTATATAGCCACTGAGACATTAATTAGATTCAGAAGTCCATGGAAACAGCAGAGTTGGGCAGGGTCAGAGGCCAGGCAGGGCAGAGAAAAGAGCGGGGAAAATGACCCCTTGGGAGAGGGGTAAGGAAGCAGAGGGAAATTTTTCATGCCATTCAAGTACCAAACAAGACAAAGATAATTTCAAAATGTGGTCAACTACCATAACATTGTTTAGAGAATTAAAGTATTGTCCAATTAAAGAGTGCTTTAAAAAAAAAAAAAGTTGATTTGGCATAAGAATTCCATGCATGTGGCTTTGGTATTAGCTGCTCCTTATATAGCTGGTACAAAAGACTAGTGTGTGAAGCTCACCACATTTTAAAAAAAAAGAAAAGAAACAAAGCAGGCATATCTACCGAAAACGAAAATCCTGGCAAGAAAAGGCATAGGCTAGTCATAAAAGTAGATCAGAGAAGTATTCCTTATCACAGATCATGTATTT